AATATATGATACAAACCACATTTAAACATCAAGTGTGAAACTAACCTCATGGGCTATTTGGCGGAATTCATCCAAATCATTGCCAAGCCGTTCAATGACAACTCCATCCGTGTGTTCCCCGTTTAATCGCCCAATTTCCTCTGAAAAACGATGATAGTGTGTTCGAAAGGCATTTAAAAGAGAACTCTGCGTGAAGAAGGACTGGGGTGGATCGTCCTTGTCGCCGTTCATGGCAGGAGGAAGCTGTCACGTCACATCCACGTGTTACATGACACCATTCTTTTCTTTTTTGTGAAGTGGCGTCATATTTTACCCTACCCACATCCTGGGCGGTGATAAGCCGCAGTCTGGGACAGACCAGGAAACGACTATTTTTGTCGATTTTGTTGCTCAGCGCACGTCTCAGAGTTGACATGAGTCCCGAATGGTCAACTAGGGAGTTACCTGCACAAGAACCTATCAAAATCCAGTCGAATCCTATCGAATCGCTCATGGTGATTCCAAAATCTTGACTAGGAAAAGTTCGCAGAGCCCGTTTCTCGCTAGAATCCATCCAATTCTATGCAAAATACCCAAAGGGAGTGTATTCTAAAAGGCATATTCGGTTTGGCGCTCAGTGGAGACTTGAGATCGACAACTCCTAGACTAGGGCCACCCCTATCTCTGTTGGTATCGATGACTGACATCATTGGAACGTGGTTTCGGATCATGCTGGAGGATCGGGAGTGCCAAGGGACGGTTGAACGGCGAAAACCTACTCAATTGATTGGGGCCTGGACCTGTGATCAACGGCGACTCTAAAACACTGTCGAGGAACTGATCATCTGAACATTGGAAATGCGCCAGGAGAGTTGGGACAACTACCGCTGAGGCCATACGCACAAGATACGAGTTATGGGTGTCAATCGAAAGCTGGGAAGCAGAGCTATCCACTTATCCTACTCAAGATCGAGGGATTCTTCACAAGCAAAACTAGATGGTCGCGAACACGGAAGATTTACACAGGTCATTGACTCCAATACACGCGATACCAGTCATCTGGACCTGGATTTTCGACTCTAGGCCGTATGGCGAAACGATACCTATACAATTATGCACATGGACGACTTTTCTTACTCGAGATTTTCCTTGATTCTATCAATTTCGTTTTAGTATTTATATCACTGTCTTGTATTTGGGGGATTCACGGATTGCCCCGCTCTACTAGGTGCATCTGGGGATCTAGCTCGTCAAATCTATCTTGCTAGCTCTTTCAAATAGTATTATCGCGTCGGAAGGATTATTGGTTGAGGGTTTCGGTTGCTGAATACAAGAGTTCCGGTTGCTGTTTATTGGGTTTCGGTTGCTGGTCGAGAGTTTAAGGCAGTTAGTTCCTGACTCGAGACAACTCAGAGGGTTTAAGGCAGTTAGTCCTGATCCAACGAGTATAAACTCTCCGGGCATCGTATTGGCGCTTCTCTATTGCTGAGTTTCGTCGATAGTACGCTTTGGGGCACAACAAATCAACGTTTTTCGCAAGAAACTCGTATCAACCCTACAACCTTACACATTTGTGCCAAGGCTCTGTTCACAGGGGTCTGTTCTCGCACAAGGAGTCGACGATATTTTGGGTTTTGTGACTTTTCCTACTCGACATTATACAACTTTCTCTCTATCTCAAGTGGAGTTTTGGTTGTTTTTGTTGGTTTGGTTAGTTAGAGGCTCATTTGCTTTGTCCCCACTCCGCACTCATCAGCGGCTCATAAGATGGGGCCTCAATGCGGCTCTAGATGCCAGAGACAGCCTCACTTTGCGGTCGCTCGTCCGCGATGACACTGATGCTGAAGCAAAAAGTCGTGGATGAGCTGGCAAGGATGGCCTGGCTCGCGCCTTTGACGCGACCACCAATGTCTATCGGGGCACGAACAACGCCCAAACATCACTCTATCCCCTCGCTCTGGGTCCCCAGCCGCTCTCAGTGTTGTCCCTTGCTGCTATTACGGTGGCATATTGGGCGATTATCCTACACTTTGGGCCTCTCAATCTTATGGTTGGGGTTACTCTTATCTATGCTCTCGCTCGCTCATCTTCTCTTAGATCCAACTCCTCACGCACACATCCGCAAACTGGTACACAAGAGAAGTTTGGGAGCAGTCTATCATGAAGATCAACCGACATGTGCATTCCCCTCGTGGAATCTATTCAATCTAATCATCTCCCAGACACAGGGGCTCAAAGTCGGGCTTGGCTTGGTGTTTTCCAACCGCGTATTGGCTTTCCTAAGCCACGACAACGTATTTCAGGTATGGATTTTGCAATTTCACAGCATTGATTCGGACATTCACCAACTTTTCTAGCCAAACTGGATGCTGGCAACTGTTGAAATCAAACTACCCCCCAGTATTCTCAGTTCGCCAATGCCATTCCTTCAAAACCTTGCGAATTGGATCCATGACACATTTCTGCAGGCCGGAGCCAGAACGGGTGGGAAGCTGGCAAGTGACGCAATTCGCGATGCGCAGGACATCTTCTCTGGCATCGGCGCTTATACTATCCAGGAGCTGCTTTTCTTGGCCGGTGAGTTGTCAGCTACTCACATACAATCGCATAATTGACATGATTGTTTAGGGATTCCGCCCTTCCTTTCTGCTCAAGAGGTGTTCACATGTCCGTCACGTATAGCACGCCTGGTCGCGGCGTTTTGGACCTTCTTAGAGAATGGCGAGACTCACATTGAGTATGTTTTTATGATTTATCTTGTCATCAACTTAATATATCTAGTAAACTGCTTCGAGCGGCAATGCTTGAGGGTGTCTTGGCTCCAACGCGAGAACAGCGACTTGAGTATGCGTTCTGGCTCTATGTCTGGGCAAAGAATACTGTTCAGATGTCTCGCCGAATGAAAGAGGCAATTCCGCAGTATCATGTACGCTCTCTATCTCTCAGTTAGCAGTTAGCGATCCCTCACATGCTCAACCGCAGGAAGTGCTCAAGCGCTATGATGATTGTGGCCCCACTCAATGCAGTGCCATCGTCGACCTTCTAGATCCATTCGAGCCTTCACTCATCCAGGCCGCGCTCGAGCAGCTCAACCTCAGGCAACTAGTGTTTGGCCCATCTGTATGGTGAAATAAGGGCTACAAATGCCTAGCACCGAGCGAAGATGATCCCCTCACAGCAATGTTTCGCGTTCATGGCTTGTCTTCAGCCACACTCACCTGCCTTGAACTGACAAGCAGGACTAGGTCTTCTTAATGCGGTAACACGGCTTCAAGATTTTGAGCCGCTCTTCATTGAGTCCAAGGCTCTCAAAGCTGCAATGGTTCCGAATCAGGCCTACTCGACTGGAAAAAGCGGCAAAATCTGGACCCTCTCAACGTGTTCCCTCCAGCACTCCAGTGTGTTATCTTCCTAAACTTGTATATTCTTCTAAATAGGCCCTTAGAACGCACAAGGTCTACCAGCTCAGTGACGCAGAGCGGTCGAATGACTTGTTTGCGACACGTGTTTCAGAGACACGGCAGGTAGCTATTAGGCCATTGGAGTATTGTGGCAATGGCCATCGCGTTCATATTGGTGGAGGGAAATTCCGGTAGGCTGGCTTCTAGTGAGAGTGATAATGTCCCTGATATTATCATAGACTTGCGGTATGCTGGCGCGATCCACGTATTTCAGCATACTGTTGCCGCAATACATAGTGCCCGAGATCGAAACCCTGGTTCGTCGACATTGATGATATCGACGATTGGATCATCATTCGAGACAGAAGCATGATTAAAGAGTGTTGGACAAATAGTGAAGCCTCCGTTGACATGTGTGACCACTGTGCCGGAAGATGATCCAAGCGTACTTACCGGTCCAAGTGGTAAGAGAGAGATGGGAGAATCAAAGGAGTGTGCTCAAACGCGTAAGGAATGTGGGGGGGGCAGGAAAGGCATCTCATAGATGCAGCACTGGTATTTAAGCCAGCCAGCGCCTGGCCCTGGACAATTGTCTGACTGCTGTCGGACAAGCGTTGACCATGGTCTGCGGGGCCTGTCACCGCCAATCAATTTTGCCAAATGTTCGTCCAAAGTTGGGTATTTCGGTCGAAAATATTTTAGGACCAATCTGATTGTGAGGTAATATCACAGTCAACACCACAAACCTCAAAGCTCACCAGTGTGACACTCTGCGCTCAATCTACCAGATTCTATTCTCACAAATATACATCACTAAACACTACCAAGAGTTGGGCATAGCACCATTCTTACACGTTGGACCACCAAATGCAAACACATATTTTACAATGAAAAAAAAGGTCATAAAAAAAGGTCATATGAAAAGGTGCCCAACAAAATTGGCGTAGTTTGCGCGCGAGCTGTCGACACTGATTCCCGCGTTGCGCCGGATCTTGGCGTTGCATGTTGTCTGTTCATATCATAAACAGACCGGGACGCGGATGCCGGCCCGAGTCGGAGGGGTGGGAAGACCGAGGAAGGTCACGGGCGTCCGGATGGCGCGTTCCGTGATCCCGATGGCGCCGCCGCGTGGCGTGATTGCCGGGCGGCGTCGGCTTTCTTCGGTGCCGTGCGCGTGGTGCCCCCGCCACCTCCGCGCCGCGTGTTGGAAGGCGGTGCTGGCGCGAGGCACGCCTGTGTCGCTGCTGTTACTTTGCAGGTGGCTTCCTTAGCGCCGACGCCGCTCCCACCGACCCTGCGGGCGACACTCGAGGCAGCGGAGCTACCGTGACTGTTCTCACGACCGCCGATGGCGAAAACACGCCTCCAGTCACAATTAGAAGAGCATGAAGGGAGATCTAGCGGCGATTCCATTTGAATATGTGCTTTGCCGTGCACCACACTGACACTGGACAAAAACGGTAATTTCAAGAGGCGGCCAACGATTCACGAATCGACAGTCGACGAAGGCAGCATGGCCTGGCGGCGGCTACGCTTCCAAACAAGAGGACGTGGTATGAACACATGTTGCGCATCTCAACAGCACTGCGCCTCTGCACATTCTCGTGCGCAGATGTATCTCTAGCAAGGCTCTGTCGACTCCGACGCAGACAAGCCCCCCGCGGGCCCGGGCGCACTGCTGATAATGCGCCCCGCAATCGCTATCGTCGGTGTTCCACCCCCCCGGGCCACGCAGAAGCGACTGGGCGCCAACGCCACCGCGGCGACGCCCTCCGTCTCGTGCATGCGCATCAGCGCCGGCTGTGGCAGGCCTGGACGGCTGTTCGTCTGCTGGTTCGAAAAGTGCGCGACCCAGTCAAAAGCGGGCGCTCGGGCGGGGATGACGTGCTCTTCGGGCTCGGATTTTATGGCGACCGGGGCGGGTGCGCTGGACGAGGCCGGGGTGGGGCAGTCGCCCGCTGCGGGGTCGACCGAGGCCGCATTTGTCGCTGGGAAGGGGGACCAAGAAGCGTTGCTGGGATACGAGTTTGTGCTGGAGGTATACGAGCCTGTCGCAGGTGGCAAGAAATAGCTTGACTGATTGGCAGGCGGGAGCTCCAGAGATGGGCCACTCGATGGATACAACTCAGCACCCTGTCCCTGCAATGTGGATTCTAGTCCAAGTCAGCGACAACAGCGTGAAAAAGAGATGAAACCGTAAACACACCGTCGGCAACCGACTCAGGGCCGAAAGACCACAGCGCCAGCCCTTCCTCCTCCTCCTCGACAGAGTCGACACCACTCTCCGAGGCCTCCATCCCCGGCATGGTAATCGGGATACCGCTGAACGTCATCAGCGCGCGGCACCCCGGCGCCATGCACTGCAGCAGCCAGCGCCGGTGCGGCGCCGGGAACCATACGCGCAGGAGGAATTGACATCTGCCTGGCAGACACGGCGCGCGGTGTGGCGCACGCGGGAGCGACAGCGGCTTGTGTGCGTAGGGATGGTAATATGGCGGCTTTTGTTTGCGGCGGCGGCGGCTCTTTGGCACGTCTTCAATCGCAAGTCCCCGACGCGGCGCACTGTCGTTGACCAGCTGGTGATAAGGCGTGTATGGCAAAGGCGGCGGGACGAAGCCACTCAACCACGCATAGGCCAGCGGGCGGACGGCGGACATGAGCGCAGGAAGCAAGAAGCGCCGTGCAGCCCTCGTCGTCATCCACCCGCGAAAAAAAAAACGTGAAAGGCAAGACGCGGAGCGCTTCCGGCCCAGAAGCCAGTCCATGACACATACATATCTGCGCGCATCTGATCCCAGACGCTGATGGACGTCCTTTTCGGTGGGCGGCCTGCTATATACGTAGGCCGCTTCTGGCCGCCCGTGGTGAACTCGGGCGCCATGATGATGGTGAGACGGAGAAAAGATCGTCAAGGCGATGCGTGACGTCACCTTGACGACGTCACGCGCTGCCAAATTTTGAAGCTTCGTAAGAATCACCCCGAGGAATGGGAACAAAACTGGAGGATTTTTTTAAATTTTAATTAAGGTAATAATGACCCCAAAAAGGGACACCTTTATTTGTTGGGGAAAATGGATTTAAAAAGACCCAATAAGTAGAACAGCAATCTTATCAGAAAAAAAGAATCAACATTGTTATACAAAAAAGCCTCTTATGCCCAGATATCTTCCATTTTTCCCACATATGCACCCTTTTTCTCCTACAATCTGAGAAACATTTTTCTGGTCAGATTTCCTTCCTATCTAGTTGACATTATTTAAACCTTTTTTTCTAATCAATAAAGGTCACCATTTTTTCAACCATTATTACCTTCATTAAAATTTAAAAAAAATCCTCCCGTTTTCTTCTCAGTTGTCAGGGTGAATTTGTCCTGGCATGAGCTGTGCGTCTGTGGGTGAAAATAGGTGTGCCCGGCGCTGAGTATCGTGTGTGCTGCATTCCCGCCTGGATTTATGATAAGTATTTTGGAAATGCCTCAGCTACTTATCTATCTTCAAAGACTAAGATTCTTCTTAGTACTATAGCCTTCTGTCCTGGTGAAACATAACACATAACGCGAGACCTGTTTCAGGTGTTGCTACTACCTAACAAGGGTCCCGACGCAGACACCTGCGGCTGCCGTTACACATTCAGGTCCGATTGCCATCAAATCCCGGCCTGAAAAGGCGATTTTTCGTTCTGGCTGACACCGGACTTGCCTTTTACCGCGGACGATTAATCAAAATAGTACAGTATGCACCAAACTGAATAGTACTAGTGCATAGCAACAGATATACTCCACATATACTCAATATACAGTGGACTGTGGTGTGATCATGATGTGTGATTACTTGAATCACATTCATAATTCAAGTTTACATGGATGACTAGTAACTACAGTACTACTTAGTACTACAAAATGGTGCTTTGGCAGGTTGCTCGGGTTCAAGCATTCTTAAAGGCATTCAACCAAACTTGAATATCCAGATTCCAATATAGTACCACAACAATATAGAATACGCCTTGGAAATGATTCAAAGACCTTGGAAAAATTGCTTTATGATGTCCGGGCCTGCACCCAGGGCACAAGGTTAGCTTGTTCATTTTTGACAGATATTACTTTACATAATTCTGAGGGGAGCTGTCAGGGTAGACAAGATCTCTGTATAAAATAGTATTCTTATGGCATCCTATAGTATGATAAATTCCCATGATATAATACACACCAATATCTATTATATCTCTTTATATCTCTAAGCTTCAGACTATGGGGTGATGGATGTGGTAAGTGGAAGCAGCTTCGGCGGTGGACATGATGGTGACATAGTGGTTAGCAGCAAGTAGTGGGTGTGTAGCAGGCAGTGTGCAAGGTCGGCAAGTTGGGCAGCCTGTAGTTTAGCCTGACAAACTCCCCTGCGACGTTCCAAACAATGATGAATGACATTTTTTCAGGACCTTATTCTTTCCTGAGACATCATAATCTACCTTGACAGCATCATGATTGCCCATTCCGACCTCTGGAAACACTAGCAGATTGTTCAGGAGGTCTTCTGGCAACTTCAAGAAAACAAGTTGTACCCTTGGGCAGTGTTGTTGATAAGGGGGTTAATAAGGGTATCCTCACAAGCTAAGGGGTTAATAACAGAATGGGGGTTAATAAGGGGTATGAAATTAAGGGTCTTAATAAGAGTATTTCCTTTTTGAGAAGTAGTTGATATTAGTGTTTTAAGTGCTATATAACAGTATTAAACCTATGCTAGGGCTATATAATCCTCTTATCATAAGACCAATAAGCATTGGTGAGTATTTCCTCTACGATTGCATATCTATCTCAGACTGGAGGTTAATTATAACCCCTATTGCTGGGACAAAGACAATTGTCAGTCTCTCTAATAGGACCAAAAATATGAATAAAATAAGTATAGACTATATAGTAGAAATTTAATAGATTTTTAATCAAAGTGTTAAGGTTATTAAGGGTCTTATCATGATTCACCTTCATGATAAGGGCTTATCATTATCATATCACAAAGGGTTAATATCAATAACCCTTAACACTTATCAACAACACTGTCCTTGGGCAGAGAAGTGTGACTTTATAAAAAATTATCAATCAAGTACCTCAAAGTCATCATATTTGAGAATCACGTCAAAATAGACCCTGTCAAGGTTACAGGTGTTTTTGCTTGGCCAACTCCGGAAACCAAGAAGGATATCCAGCAGTTCCTTGGGTTCGCTAATTTCTACTATAGGTTCATTTGGGACTTCTCAGTCCTTGCACAACCAATTCCAGACAATACAGGGCCTTTCTGACTTAAAGCGAACAGCTCTTGAAACTCGGGCAAGTGATTATGTAACAATTTCCAATTGCAGACATGTGTCACACATTTCATGTAGTCATATGTCACGTAGCACTATCACTGTGCAAGTTTCTTGTTCCCAGAATTATTACCAATTATCCACAGCATGTAGTGACTGAGAACTTACACCTGATATAACTTGTGTGCTGCACAAGGTCCTTAAGACCTACAAGGCAATAATTAGGCTGTATCAAAATAGTACTTCTTTGCAGAACCTTACTAATTATCTGGCATAGTGTCCAACTTGCTCTTTTTCTTTTTAGGGCTGTGCTTCAAGAGCGGGTGCCTATAGACAGAAGTATAGGCCTAGTAATAGGAGAACATGTGGGACAGATAAATCCGCTTCATACTTATTATTGTTCTTAATTAGTGCTAACCAGCCGTTTTTTGACCTATCTTCGATGACAAATGTGTGCTTGGTGGTTGTTATCCTCTGCCCTCTTAGAGCTCTGACAATAGTGTGCCACACCTGTAGTTTGTGCTGCCACCCTCTATACCCAAGATTTTACATAGAATATAGCTATACCAAAAAAGAAGTTAAAAACCTCAAATATGATAGACATAATAATATATTAATCAAGATAAAAATATTTTTCTTCAGGCCGATGATTTAGTATGTAGTTAGGGTGACTGTGTCCCACTACAAAGAGAGATTAATGTTATTTTCTTCAGATTGATCTAAACCTATAGCCTCATTATAACTACTGATAGCAATAAGAAATCGTTCTATATTAATCAATTTCCTAGAATGCAGTCAACCCTGACTTGATATCATTATATTTTATCATACGGAAATAATTTCTGGGATACTATATCCTATGTAAAAGAACCTTGGACTCCAGCCTATATTCTATGCTAGATTCTAGGTATACTAACTGGTGCCGCCCTCAGTGCCTTAGTGCAGAGGCCTGTCGTCAACTTGATATATTAAGGGTGATACATATCACATGAGATGCTTGCATCCACCTTAAAACCTCTAAGTATAATACCTGGTCCGGTCTTACATTGGATGCTATGGGAGAAGGTATAGTAAAATCAACTCTGTCAAAGTATCCATAACTTTTACTGAAGTCAAGTAAAGTTCAGGAACTGCCCAGCAGAGGGTTAATTAGCGCCTCAGTCAGCGCTAAGGATTAGTTTGGCTTGACGCTCAGGGGGCTACCTTCAGACCTTGAATTAATTAGAAAGTTGCCTACTCCAATTTAGATTAATATTGATAACTAGGCAGTACTATTAACATTCTATCAACTTATTTTTAAGTTTTGCACTAGGCAAAAAGAGATGTTTAGTGGGACTGAATCTCCCTCTCGCTGAGGTGAGTGAGTAGAAGGAAACCCTTAGATATAAAGCTCACACCAGTTACAATATTATATTCCCCTTTCGCTTGTATTCTGATACCAATATGCAGCTACACTTTCAGTCTGCCTGCTAGGCGGCCCCCACCTGTTTAACCTCCTTCGCTTATTTGGCCACCTTTGCTTGTTTAGCCTCTACTGCTTATTTAGGCTCTGCTACTTATTTAACCTCTGTTACTTGTTAGGCCACTATTGTTTGTTGGGCCATTACTACTTTTAAATATTATATCTATTTAAAGTGGGCAGTAGGTAATAAGTAATGGAGTTAGCTAGAGGCTTAGTAGGGCGATTAGAGGTGTAGGGGCAGCTGTAGGTGCAAGTAAAGGGTGGTAGCTTGAGTTGGGGGGTACAATTATACCCAGAGTGTTTGCTAGTAATAAGGATTGAGAATAGCCTGCAGACATAATAGAAAATTAAGAAATAGAGAGATGAAGTACTAGTAATAGTTAAAGCAGGTACCATTGAAGTATATGGAATATTTGGGGATTGCATTACCTCCTTCGATCTGTCTTTGATCTGATCCATTATACATCATCTGAATCTAAGTAACCGTGCTTAAAAAAGCTTAGTTAGAAGCTATGCCACCTCCTGTTTAGCATAACGTAAGCATACCACACTTTGTTCTGGTTACCTAGAGCAGAGCACATCTTGACTATTTAATCTATGGTAAGTGATGCAAAGTTGCAAACCCAAACTAATATATTTTACTCAGACCCGTTTGCTAGTGGCTGAAATAGCTATATCCATCTTCCTCCTTATTGGACCAGAATAGGAAACTTCACTCCTGGCTGGGAATTTAAGTTTACTAAGTTTATAATGCACAACTCACCTATGGTAGATACTGACCCATTTCGATCAATTCAGCGGGCCTGTGACCCGTGACTGTTTGGCTGAAATGTCCAATTCCGGCCGCAGGCCGAATTTCGCGTGACCTACTACCCGATTAGGAAGTCCGGCGCGCCG